TGACTAAATTAAATGATATTTGCTGATATTTATGCATGATAATATAGATATTTTGAAATTTAGGTTTCTCAGTATGGTTATTAAATCTTGATAAATTCATTGATGGTATATAAAAATTGTACAAGTTTGAAATTAAGCATAAAATCGTGAACTTTGAGAAAGTGCTGTATGGTTTTGCCACGGGTGAGCCCAAGAGTTTGAGCATATTACAATGAGAAACAGCCCTTCCTGGTCACTAGTCATTGTAATGACTAATGTAATGTGATGTATGAGTGAATAATTACAGGTTGTGTAGCAGACATTTCACCGCAGAAAAGTTGAAGTTTTTGTCGGCAAAACCGTCTTGAAGTCGAGAGCATTATTTCTATTGGATTAAAAGAAATGTTTACAAAAGCCTGTTTGTTTACAAGGTAATAAAGCCGCTTCACATCACTGGACGTTTTGTTGCCTCGTTTTGAGTCGCAGAATATAGTGCTGCACATAACTGGGAATTTTTTCTATTTTGTGAGCTTTTACAGGTTACTGTGTAAATTTGACTTTCATTGTGATTTGAAATGCACTCATCAATGCCTTTGTAACCATGAAATCTAAAAATAGTGTTGCAGTTCCCCTTTAAAGCATTTCCTTTACATCACTTCTGTTACATTGTATCATAAGCATACTTTATACATAACTCTGAAGGTATGACTCATATAGAGTATAAGGTTCATTCAACATTTTGTAGTCCTACAGTTTACAGTATCTTGACTTAGCATTTTAAAACATTTAAAATAACTACAATGTGTATTATTAAGAAAGTGTGCACTTTATTTAAGTTCCTACAGTATATTCTTCATTCATACCTGTAGACTCTTCTCTTACAAAAAAGTGCAAAAACATTTTGTGGTCATGTACAGTACATATTACAAATATTGTAGCTGCACAGCTGCCTATTTCAGGTAAGACAGAAGCCTAGTGATTAGAAAATAACTATCTGAGAAATCTGGATTTCAATCCGATTTCTTTAATAGTTTAATTACTTAAAATAAACGTAAATACAGCAGAGACTGAAAGTAAGAAAATAAACTATAATTGGCGCCAGTCTTAAGATGCCATTATAAAATAACTAATGAAATAACTAGCTTGAGAAGGTGATGCTACATATTCTGTTTTTCCCTGAATTATGCTGGCACATGCCCTAGAACACTTTCTTGGGCTTAGTCCAATTTACTTGTTACTTAATTAAATTAAGTCTGGAAGTGTTATCTGAGTCCCCAAGCAAATAAAATAGGTTAATCTAGGAATGTCAGACTCAAGTCTTCAAATGGCCACAGGGTCTTCTGCTTTACATTTTATCTTTATTTCTCAATGACTTCATTTATTTGATCATTTGCTCTGTTGAACATTGTTTAACACTTTACGGTCTTAAGAAGCTGAAGATTTAAAACTTAAACTTTATTCCACGCACACTAATAAGAAGACAGAAAGCATTAAATAAATATTGTGCACGAATGTGCGTCTTAACCCCAGCCTTGATTCTACAAATATGTCTTCTCAGAGAGATAAGTCATTGCATAAAAAGATTAATATATATATAATATATGCTGTACAAGAGAGATAGACAAAGGATTCAACATTGTGATATTGGTAGAAGAGTCGGGGTAAAAATCACTCAAGCTGTTGGCAAGAAAATTACAACAGAACGATAATACAATATATAAAATAAGGGACCAGAACTGTAATGTTGTATTATATAAATGGGAAATAATCCAAAACACTTTTACAAATTTTTACAGAAAAATATATACACAACCCTCAGAAAGTGAAGAAAAGATTAACGCTTTTTTGGAATCTCTCAGTTTACTAACTCTTACGGAAGATCAAAATAATATATTAAAAGCGATGATAACACCTGAAGAATTGAATTTAGTGATTACGAGATTCAGAAGTAATTAATCACCTGGTACTGATGGTTTTAATTCAGAATGGTATAAAACCTTCCGAGTGGAATTAAAACCAATCTTCTTTCTGCTTGTAACTCAGCATTAATTGATGGAAAATCATGGAGAGAGGGTATCATCTCAGTTATCCCTATGGAGGGAAAAGATACTGTCAATTGGATTGTGGATCGTTCAGACCAGTCTCAGTCCTTAATGTGGATTATAAAATATATACAGCAATACTGGCTAAATGAATCGAAAAGATTCTCCCTCATCTGATATACTATGATCAAACAGGGTTTATTCAAGATAGAGAAACCCATGTTAACATTTGACGCACGTTGCATATTATGAACCATATGGAACAATATAATTTAGAAGCTTCTTTGATGAGCCAAGATGCTGAGAAAGCTTTTGACTCTGTTAGCTGGAAATACCTCTATAGGGTCTTAGGTAGGTTTGGTTTTAATGAAAATATTATCAAAAGTATTCAAACCTTATATGACAGACCAACAGCACAAATTAAAATAAATGGTTATTTATCTGATAGTTTAGAATGAGGAAGTAGACAAGGCTGCCCTTAGTCTCCATTGCTCTTTTCTCTATACTGTATATAGATTCACTAGCCCAGTGGATATGACAAAATAGCAAAATAAAAGGTATTTCTGTACAAGGGAATGAACATAAGATAGCACTGTACGCAGATTACATTTTTTTATATCTGGAGGATCCCACTAGTTCATTTCCTGAACTAATGAAACTCTTATATAGCTTTGGTTTGCTGGCAGTCTATAAGTTAAATGTTCCAAAAACACAAGATGTAACCTTTAATTACAAACTCCACGATTTTTTAAAAAGCCAATACAACCTTAAGTGGGACCAAAGTTCAATGGGAAATCTAGGAGTCTATTTACCAAAAGATTTTTCTACATAAACAACAATTAATTATGGACCACATATAACTAAAATAAATCAGATATACTGAAATGGAACCTAATCCCCTTTGTGATTTTTAGCTCTAGAATTGAATCTGTAAAAATGAATCTACTGCCACAATTACTCTTCCTATTTCAAGCTCTCCCTGTAGAAGTCTCTGCAAAACAACTTTCAGAATGGGATAAGATGATTTCTAGGTTTATATGGCAGGGGAGAAAACCCAGAATTAGATTCAAAACATTGCAACTTTCAAAAGATAAAGGGGGAATTATCCCTTGTAAATAACCCCCCCAATTCTGGCATTATTAGGTAAAAAGAATTTAGACAAAATTACTGAACAAATATTCAATCCATGGATAAAGTTTAAACTAAGGACAATGGGATATGATTACAAAAGAGTATCACTTACTGTAAGTGAGGCAGTAAAGATACTCAGATGGTGCACCTATGATACAGTTTAAACCAAAAAAAGTGGATAATAGATTTAAAATTTGGATCACAAATGGAATAACTGTATTTTTAATAACTGCATAATGTAATATAATGGATAAGAATCAGTTACAAAGTTTTCAGTATTTAAATTTTAATTTAAAGGAGAAACACTATTTGGAGATTTCTGATTTTTATAGATATCTTCAAATGCGCCACTAATTTAATAATGAGATTATAAGGGGAGAGTTAGATATTGTTAATGATGAGGTAGTGAAAGTAGTTACAGAAGCCTACAAATCAGAATTAAGTAAAGGTATTATATTTAGATTATATAAAGGTTTTATGGAAAAGAAATCATATTCTACAGAGTATATAAACGATAAATTGGTGAAAGAAAGTGAAGACTGAATTTCAAATAAAGAGTGTCTTAAAATTTGTGATTTTCAATGGAGATGTACAGTACTAACTCAGATTTATGGAGAGAGTTTTGCTGGAAAAACATTGTTCGATTTTTCATTACTCCAAGTCAGAAGGCGCTCCATACTTAGGAAAACTCTAAATGTTGGAGACTTCTGGAACTGCCCTAAAATAAGGCTTTTCTGGAAGGAGATACACGAGGCCCTGGAAATACCCTTTACAAGTGGGTTCTCTCAGATTTACCAACAATGAACGATTGGATTGAATTAATACATGAAATATTTGTAATGGAAAAATTAACATTTTCACTAAAATGACAAATGAATAAATTTGTCAAATATTGGTCTAGATGGGTTAAGTACATTAAACCTTTAAGGTCTGAATTTGTTGATACATAATAACAGACTTAATAAGGTACATTTATATAGTCTCCTCCCTGTTCAAATTCATGAAAGTATAAATCTTCCTCATTTTGAATGCTTATAGTTTGTTTAAAAGTTTTAGAATTGTAAAATACTAAGGGAACAAATAGTAAAATGTTTTTGCTTGTGATGTACTGTGTAGTCAAAAGTCTATTGTAAAAGTAAGGCTGAGTAATGGTGATTATACTATATGTAAAATGGTTTTGTTTTGTTCTCTAAAATAAAAAAGAAATACGTATTGTGCTTCTGAACTTTTGAGACTGCTAATTTAGATACTTAAGGACTTATTATTAAAAAATAATTGTTTATTAAACAATGAGTGAGTGGCATTGTGGCACAGTGGTTAGCCCTAGGGCCCTGGGTTCAATTCCTGGGGTGCTATCTGCATGGAGTTCTTTCCCCATGTTTGTGTGGGTTTCCTCCAGTTGCTTTGATTCCCTCCCACAATCCAAAGATAATCCAGTTCATTGGCTTCTGGGAAAATTAGCCCTGGTGTGAGTGTGTGCCCTGTGATGGAGTGGTGTCCCATCCAGGGTGTACCCTGCCGTGCATCTGTTGTTTGCTGGGATAGCCTGCAGCTCACCCATGACCTTGTACGAGACAAAGTAGTAGGAAAATGGATGGATGATGAATGAATGGTAACAGCTTTTATTTTTTCCATACCAGCTTTTGAGTTATAGTGTTCAATTCTTGAGGTACGTTTTTACGTTACGGCAAATAACCTGGGTTACCGTCAGCAAACTTCGCCAACTTTTCTGTTGTTGATTCGTTTTAAATGGCATTATCAAAGTGCTTTCACCTCTCAAGGTGTGTGGGAAAGGGGTAAAAAGAAACTGATCCTGAGGAGTCAATCCTTTTCTTTCCTTCTCCATAGGTAGTCAGGCCGTACCAGACGATGTCAAACCCTTTGAGCAAGCTAACAGTTCTGAACAGCCTGCACTCTCACTTCATACTGGCTGACAATGGTACAACAGGGAAGTACGGTGCTGAAGTGAAGCTTCGCAGACAACTAGAGAAACACATTTCGCTTCAGAAAATCAACACCAGTAAGTATAAACCAAGAAAAGTTACAGCTTTAGAGAGGCATGTACAGGAAATTCATGCTTGCGTGATCAAACCTAGCATTGCCTGTCCACACTCCTGAAGTGTTTTCTCACACAGGTAGGATCAATCACCAATACTGGAAGCATCCATACAATCTAAAGACATGCATAGATCGCCAAAGTCAGAATAGTCAGCCAGACATTTACAAGATTTCAGCAATCCTGATTATTTCTGATGTCTTTTTTTGCCGTGACAGGGCTGGATTGCAGTTTATTTTGTGCTCTTGAAAGTGAGTGTAGATCTCACTTTAGGGACTGTAAGAATGTGTGGCTTATGTCACATCCTCCACTATTTTCTGCTTTACCTATGTAAACTCTTGGTCTGTCTTGACGAGCAATGTGACTTAAACATTTAGAGAACCTACCAGTATATATTATTACTCTGTGTCATTTTGTGTTTTAATACATTTTCCTGATGTTATCTTGCACCCAAACACAGCTTTGAAGCTTTGCATATACAATATGTTTATACTGTATTATAATTAAATAAATGTTTAGTAGTCCATAAAAATATGTCCTATAAGGACAGCATAACACAAGATAAAGAAGTATTTGTCGAAAAATTAAAAAAATGTGTTATAAATAAAGATTCTACCATTGCATAGTTGTTCCACTCTTTCAGGTAATAAATCATTTGAAGGACCCTGTCACATTTTTCTTGTCATTTTCAATTTTCGGCGTATCACTGAACCAGGGAACCTGCCAGACTTATGTAAATAAAATTTTTCCACTCCTGTTGGGAAGGAAACACTGTAACTCTTTAAATGATTTCCATCAGAGGTGTTTGTAAGGCAGATTTACGGTATATTTCACCACAAGGCAAAAAAGTACTGATGTGCAAACACAAACTGTAATTTGTTACCTGAAATGAGGACCAGCAAGTCCAGTTATGATTGATGACAACTATCTAGTACGAATGCAAGTGACAACACTAAGTATAGCTATAAAAAAGTATATTCAAGACTAATCACATAAAGTCATACACGCTGACATATAAATTCCTTATAGTTTCATTTTACAAGACTTGACACTGCTTCAATTATCTCAGATGTTTTTTTTTAAACAAATATACACATTCCGTATTAAGAGGGAAACCACAGCGTTAAACATGCGGATCACAAAATTGCAAAGTCTCAAAGTTTAAATGTAGGGTTAATCGTACTCAGTATCAAATCATTAGCTTTATAAAGCCTTCAGTGGAAGTTAGATGTTTTTTTTTAGAGATGAATGAGATTAACTCACCACCCCCCAAAACCATCCTCCCAAAACAAATTGGATGTTAATTTCGCAGCACATGCTATCTCAGACTATTGCAATTTGAAGGCCTTCCATTCTCTATGGGACTGATGGAAAAGCACTGGGAATTTGGCCCAAAGCAGACAGTGCAGCAAAACGAGCCAGCGTGGGAGGGCCCTCAGTGCTGGCCTCTTGCCTGACTGTCCATCTGCTCATGTGACCCGTGGGCTTCCCTTTGTCATCCTATGCCTGAGAATATATGAAGGGGGCTGGGAAGGCAAAGGGACGTTCAACTGTCATCACTGGCATCTCCTTTGATCATTGCTTCATCACCCAAACGCTTCATGTGCTCGATCACGTTCAGTTTCTTTTTCACATCCTGTGTGACATTGATGCGTTCTCACATCTGTCGAGTCCATGAGAGATGCACCCTGACGTGTTCGTCATAGTAGGTCCGAAATGTCAGAGACACACAGAACGGCAGGCTGGACTGCGGCGTTGGAAATCCGCAGTCTGGTAGCGACAGCAGGGAAGAGACTGCCGTTTGTCAGGCAATTCGCCTCTTTGCTGCTGCTGCTGCGGCTGCCGCTTCGAAGCAGTTTTGGAAATGTAAATTGAAACGAAGAAACGGATCTGGACTGCGAAATTGTAAAATGTAAGAAGGTACAGCGTCTATTTCAGTGATGTTCCCGTGAAGGCCCTACAATAGAGAGACATGTGCGTTGCTAAGGGTGGAGGTAAAGACAATATGTGCCTAGATCAGACTCACATCAGAAGACACTAACTTAATAAATAATGACTGTTGTGTAATGTTTCCTAAGTAGGTCAGCTACATGTTCTCAGGGGAGAAAAGCAATGTGGTAAAATAGACTGACGTGCTTAATTTGTCTACTGTTTCATTAAAGGCAAAATGCTAACCATTCACAATAGGAGACACATATACAGCATGTATTACTACTCTATTACATACCATACAATAGTGAAAAGCGAAGGTTATGTACTGTACTGCAATTAGTATATTTTAGTCACAAAAGATTAATAAGTATGCTGTCTGCCTGTCCATCATTTGTTAAGTGTTAGTACATCATTTATATACTGTATTTACTGGTGTATGAGAAGCACTATGATTTTAGAAGAAAATGTATGGAAAATATATTTTTATATTTCATATATGGAAAATTGGTTCCCATTCAATTATTTGCATTTTAGCCAATCCGCATTGTGATAAAACACTTTATAACAGAAATGACAGTACTTTATTACTGTTGGAAACAAGTATTGATTAAGCATAAAACAAAATACTTTTTTTGTGAATCCCAGCATATGTCACTGAAAGTGAAACATTTACCCTTACTTTCTAAAACAGAAGTTGGAGGTGGATTGAAATGTCTTTCGGTTGCTCTATTGCCATGCAATGATCTCTGTTTCCAGGTTATAGCCAGCTGTACAAAAGTCATTTGTGTGTGTGTAGTTCACACAAATATATTTTCAAAACAATACAAAGTTTCCTTAATCAATGCACAGAATGAAAAAGATATGTCTAGCTTGAGCTTGATCCTAAAAATGTCTCAGCCAAACAGTTTGTACTGTGATGTTTAGATAGGACAGTACTTCAGCCAATTTCTTTTAGAATCTCTACTTCATATGGTATAGGGTGGCATAAACTAAACATATTCCACTGAATACTACCAGTATTACAGTAAGTATTCATATCATGTATTGTAGTTTGACTGTAGAATGCAGAGGCAAAAATATTTCTCTGAATATTATTGGTATTTGTTGTCTGCTTCCCAAACTTTCAAAGTATAAGATGCAATGTGAATTTAGGGGGCATTTCTGAGAATGGTCAACTGCATATTATACATCACAGGCATCACATTTTATACCCACCAAAAACATTTTTCAGTTCAGAGTCTCCAATTGATTTAAATTATATCCACCCTATAACACTTACTTGTGTCTCCTGATCTAAATTGGCAGAGTTATTTTTCTAAGACATTCCCCACTTGTGTTTGTAATATCCAAAGTCCTTTTAATTCTTTACGAGATCTCTGCTAGAGACGCATCTGCATTGGTCTCCTTCGAGTTCCTCTTTGAACACCTTCCCCATGGCCACTGTTAGATGTACAGTAATTCACTTTCAAAGAAAAACATTCTGAGGAGCTTAAGTTAAAACGTAGTCAGCTTGAACAGTCAGTGGCAGTGATTCTTCCTTTTAACTGTCATGAAAAAATCCTCAGAGAGGAAGAAAAAAGATCTTAAACAAAGAGAAGCTCGGAGATGCATAGAGAGAATGAGAGCAGGATTTCTGTGCTGAGGCCAGAAGTGCAGTAGACTGCAGGCCCAAAGCAGGGCAGATGAAATGAAATCCTACCTAGAACTTCATCCCCTAAACAAACAACTAGCTTAAGACACATAAGACAGTGTATTGTCTTTATGTCCCTGCCACCTTGAGGTTTCAATACCAAGCTGTAAAGGTCTTAAGCTTGTTTGGGTTTGTGTGCAGAAGCCAGTATAGTGTACATGAGCTTCACACCTCCCTGCCTCTCTGAGTACTATTGATATTCACCATGCTGTGTGTACACACTGTGTGCTGGTCATGGCCCTCTTAGATTTCTAGGACTGCCACCACATTCAATGCTAAAGTAAAACAGTCATACAGAAAGTGGGCTGTGCGATCAATGAAAGTTCACAGCTTTCAGATATGTCAGTAAATAGTTATAACACCTTAATGGCACCCCACCCTTTCAGTGCTGTATTGTACCATCACATAATTCATACAGCACTTAAAATAGGATTTTATCAACAAATGTCCACATTCACATGGAAAGATAACATACCCTGCGTGTACGGAGAATTAATACCCTTGTTGTTTTTCATATCAAGTCATTGTGTAATAGAAAAGCTTTAACTTGATGTGCTTCCTATCCTAAATAGCCAGCAGTCACAATGGTTTTATTAACTAAAAAGCTTTTACAAAAGTACAATATGCAAACGGCACTGAATTGTTAAAAGTTTATTTACTAATATAAAGTAATACCTTGCATGTCATCTCAAAGAAATTGATGACAAAGTTAAAAAGGTGAAAAGCACACACAAAACATAAAATATAATAAATATAACAACATTTCGGCCATGGAGCCTTCTTCAGGTGTGACACCTGAAGAAGGCACCAAGGCCGAAACGTCATGTTTTCTTTCTTCTCTTTTCAGCATGGAATAAACCTATAACTTGTTCCTTTGCAGCCTACGCAGCTACCTACCAGAACTATTATAAAATATAGAAACATATAATACAAACTTAGATTTAAATATTTAAATAATGTTTTAAAAGGCTGCATTTTAAAAACACATCTTCAACTTGCATGTAAAAATAAAGACATACTGTATGAAGCATTTCCCACAGAGGAAAGCAGATCATTTAAAGATCAGGAAGCATTATAAAAGTACTCTTCGTTAAAACGCGGTGGGCTTGACGCAATATACCACATGTTAATTGAAATATGATAATAGTATCTGGGAGCACCTTGTAAAACCGCCAGGTGGAGCTAATAAAGCTTAACTTCTGTACAGCATTTGAGCTGCTGCCAGGAAACGCCTGGTTTTGAATCCCGGTCACAGCTGAGGGACAGTCTTTTTCCAATTAAGAATTTAAGTTGTATACTCTTAATAAGTTTATAATTTTAAACTGTATATTATACCATGTTAATCATTAAACATTAAAAAGTCAGTATATTTTATAAAAGCAAGATTGCTCAGCTGGACAAAAGAACACAACCTTCCAACTTCATCATAAATATTTTATGCATAAACTTATTTAACTTGATAACTTACATGCTTGTTCTAACATTTATAAACTTATATTCTGTACTTCATAAAAAGTTATAACGTTTTATCCTTTTCTAAGAATACATAGTAAGAGCACCACTTGCTGTTATTGTAAAAAGATAAATGTTGTAGTGACTTAACATCACTTGATAGTTATATTAATATGGAATCAAGTAACTAAGCAGCTAAAGTATCACAAGTGGACGTTTTGGAAACATTTTGACATTCGTTTCTTTTTTAAAAAACACTTCTGTCCTTGTAGTGGTAATGAGCACTGTAATGTAGCGAGCTGCACCCAGGCGGTTCAAAGCGTGATCAGAGCAGATATTTACAAAGAAAGTGTACTACTGTAATAATTTAAGCTGTACGGATATAATTATATCATCATTAATTTATTTAGATATGCAATTCCATATTATATTCCCTATTAATCAAATTCTAAAAAGCACGCGCTTTTGTGCAATAACAAGCACAAATATTTATAGAAAAGGTTAAAACATAACTTTTCATGAAGTATATGAACTTAATATAGTAGGAAGGAGCATGTAAAATTTTTCCAAAATTACTACAGTACTGTGTGTAACTTAATGAAAGACTTTGATGCTTAAAATGTTTATGAAGAAAGTGGAATACTGGTGTGTATTTTTTATTTAAACTACCAATACCAGGCATATACAGTTAACATCTGCAATATACAGTTTACAATCGGTTTATGATTCTATATTAATATTGTTTATGACCTTCAGACACATTATGTTCCTCTTCTTTTTATGCTCAGTTACTAAAATGTCCCTTTAGTTGTAAAATTCCATATTAATATTCAATATTAAGCAGATTTAAACATGCACAGTAAAGAGATTGAATGAAGCAATGGTTTCACTAACAAGCAATGCACCACGAGTGCCTCCTGTTGGTCGCTTTGGCCAATCAATCACGTACCGTGGTATAACGTGCTGAACTGGAGAAAATTTTGCACAGTATGGAGCTGTACACCGTGCATTTTGAATGGCTGCATCTGTATGCTGTATAACACTTATATAATAAATATATAACAAAATACATTTCCTACTGTTGCTTGACAATTTAGGAAATACCTTTTTATAAAAGCAGAAACCTTGAATGCTTTAGTGTTGTACTGTAACAAAATATTGAGTAGTATCACTATTGGGGGACAGACGGTTTAGTTGGCTGTGAGACATAAAGGTAACATATCTACAATACATATTGCGAATGCTGAATTTGTACCAGCATTTAATACCGTATTTTACCTTTTATACATTTAATAAGAACTGGAAGGCTGTGTTGTGAAAGTCACGATATTGAACTAATTGGTATTCTGTGACAGAAACCGGTAGTTTAGAATGTGGAACACATACTCAGAGGGAGGGAGCTATAGGCTGCTTTATAGGCACGACAGGTTTTTAAGGAAAAGCCCCCTCATCTATTAAATGACAGAGCCAGTGGGACTGAAATAAGTGAGAGCAGATGGCAGGTTTATAATGACATATACAGTAACGGTATGACAAAAAAAATGTTAGCAATCTTAAGTATATTTTTTTCCCCAATTAGTCATCTCTTACTTAAGTATTTAATTTCATTTTTAAGGTTATTTCAATTTTGACATTATTAAAAATTGAAGGAACTGTATTCAAACAGTTGGACAGACTTTTGCAGTAAGAACATCAGTTTCTCTGGAGAGTAAAGCATGCTGGCAGTACTGATCTGGATATAATCCTGGAGAACACTGATCAGTTCAGAACTTAGCTACTCTACCAAAAAGTTGCCTGTGCATCTCAAAACAAAACACAGCCAATTCTATCTCTATTGTATACCAGCATTTAAATTCACTGGAAGAAATTCAGATTTCTTTCAGAATAATGAATGTTGCCTCTGGTAGAGTCTTGAAAAAAGGAAAGGAGATTCATATTTTTTAAATGAAGTTTCAGATGATTTCTAGAGGTATTTGCTATCGTAATGGTGCCGTTGAGAAGCACAATGCCTTGGGTACTGCTGCTGCACAAGCAGCTCTTGAGGCCTGGGTTCGATGCTGGACTGGGGTGCTTTCTGTAAGGTGTTTGCGTGTCTGCCCAGTGCCCTTGGGGGGTATTGTCAGGTGTTTGGGTGTTGTCCCAAAAGACAAATTGGCTGGGATGATTTGTGTCTCTCAATTGTCCCTGTATGTTTGTGTGTATGCCCTGCGATAGACAAGTGTCTGGATAAGGGGGTAGCCCAAGATTCAACAGGAGTGAGCAGGTTTTTGGTAATTGATGGATGTTTCCCATTACTTTCAATTAGATTTATTAAGTAATATTAAGAGGGAAAGCGTCTGTTGATTTTTGCTGGGCCACCTCTGTTTGGTTATGTAACTTTAAGTGAGTATATCAGCTATGCCTTGATACTTTTACGGTGCCAGAGTACAGCACCATCTCTGACTAATTTAAATGACAGTTACTATGCAGAAACAGGCAAAGAATCCTTAAAAATTAATACTGCAGAGCCAGATTACACAGAATTGCTGTTACCTCAATCTTATTCAATATAATCCCCAATATTTGATTATACCTTTTTTTCTTTGAATCTCACAAGGATGTATCTTTTTGTTAAAGAAATGGTTTCTAAGGGACTTGAAACCCATAAGTGTAAAACACTTCTTTTTCACCCTCTGAAAACTTAATATCTATACATAATCTTCATAGACCTAAATATGTCATAATGTTGATGTTATTAGTAGTCCAAATGAAGGAATTATTAGATATTATATAGTGAGGTGTTGTGGGTCAAGGATCTAAGTTTACTTTCCCAGATTCAATTCAATTCAATGTATTTTCATATAGCGCCTTTCACAAGAAGGTTGCCCCAAGGCACTTGACAAAGATGTGTGACAACACATGACGTTACAATCCAGAAAGAGAAAAGCGAGAGGGCAATGGAGGAGAGGAACCAAACCCCCCCCAGTAAGGAGGAAAAAAACCTCAAGGGGTCCAAGTTCAACTGGCTGCCCAACCCCTCTGGGCATGCTAACAGTATACAATTCTAAAAAAGTTCTAAATGTGGAGTAATAAGCCTTCCATCATGTCCTTCTGTGTGCCAGTATTCCATGCCAGATCTCTGTAGACCAGCAAATCCTCCTAAACGATAGCTGTATTTGTGATCTCCTACTTGGATCCACGGCTGTAATGCAGCATCCAACTCAGATGGTGCCCAGCCCAGGCTCCATCCGGACATATGGGGAGGAGAATAGGATAGTTTGATCAGAACAGATGTATCAACCTGGTGGGCCAACACAGAGACGCACAATGGCATGTATAGCAGCACCAGCAGCCATACTGTAGTTGCAACAAGCTATGATGTAATGTGTGAGTAGGCTAGGCTGAAGTAATAGGTTTTCAGTCTGGATTTGAATACTGAGATTGTCTTGGCATCCTGTACATAGGCCGGCAGACTGTTCCATAAACTAGGGGCCCTGTAGCTAAAGGCTTTACCGCCAGCTGTTTTTATATCAATACTGTGTGTGGATTCAATGTGATGTGAGTGCAGAACAAAATACACAGCAGCTATTAAAACACTGACTTGCAAAATAGTTGTTTTTTTTAATATTAAGCAAACCTTTAATTCCAGAAGAGGGGTAAACTAACCAACCCTTTACTCATACGAGTATTTTCTATTTCCACAGCTGAGAGCTCAAACCCACCATACGTGCAGTGTCATCAGTTTTGGTTTATTGCCAGCTGTAGTTCTGGTTCACTAGAGAGAGACTCCATACCTATCCTGAACCTGCAATTTTCTCCTGTGCGTTTATGGATTTATTTTTGTTATGCAAGGAGATTAGTAATGGAAAATGCTCTGACTTCACTGTGCTGTTAATTTATTGAAGTTTTCTAACAGTCATGATCCCCGCTTTACTTTTGCCTCAATTGATTTTAACCTAGGTTCTGAAAGGTTAGGGGACAAGTAAGATGTTTTCCATCAAACAATTGACTTTAATCAATGCACATGATCAATACACGTAATTAATGCATACTGGCACTTAGGGATTGGGTGTCTAATTCCCTTCTATCCCCTTCATTGTTCTTTTCCCACAGGAATTGGGCAAGGAGTCCCTGTGGTAGCTCTCATTGTAGAAGGCGGACCTAATGTCATCTCCATTGTCCTTGAGTACCTGAGGGACACCCCTCCTGTGCCAGTTGTCGTCTGCGATGGCAGTGGGCGTGCCTCAGACATTCTGGCCTTTGGGCACAAATATTCAGAGGAAGGAGGGTACGTTTCAGAGTCTGGCGACCAACAGGAAAGCGTCAGAATGTTTCTCATGTTGTGGCGTGTGTTCTTTCCCAGTACACAGTTCACTTTGTATTAGCTCAGCATGAGTAAATATAAACTGTCACAGCTGCAAAACAAATGCAGTTATTGCATTTTAATTTCCTGTTTCCTTATTGTTTCCTTAGAAACCCTTCGTCTTCCTCGGTTTTGAAATATCTTATTGCAAGGACACAATATGAAAGTTGCAGAGAAACTGGGCCAGTGACAAATCAAACATTCACCACAGTACTGCAGGTGTCCCTGGCCCTAGTTCTGGAGATCCAGACACCTGCTGTTTTCCTTTCAGCTGAGATCATTACTTAACTGAGTCCTTAATTGGGTCCCCAGGACCAGGGCACTGCAAGGTGTCCTGGAACTGAGAAGACTCACTTTACTGTACTTGCATATATATATTCACAGTGTATTAATTTGATGGATCCTTTAAAGTTTTCATTTTATATAATAATTTAGGTTAAATAACTTGCAATTAAATAAATATAATTGTCTGGGCTTTCAAAGAGAAAACATGAAAAATTAGCAGAAGACAAAATGAAAGAGCGAGTTTTGAAATGTTGTCCCCTCTCCATCACCACACTCCACCAGGGTCATCAATGAGTCTTTGAGGGATCAGCTGCTTGTCACCATTCAGAAGACCTTCAACTACAGCCGTACTCAGGCTCAGCACCTCTTCATCATACTAATGGAATGCATGAAGAAAAAAGAGCTGGTAAGTCCCATCCATGTCAGAGAATACCTCAGCATTTCAAATGTGGCCCGCCAGGCTTTACAGGTAACTTCTAACCCTCAATGAAGGTCAATTAAAAGAACAATTGATTCAAATCAATTCATGAGTAGTCTGGGGTGGAATTCAATATTGTGGCCTTTTAAGACCAGGAATGAATACCAGTGAAATAAACCACAGTGTTTTTCAATAATTATGTAGTGATTGTGCTGTAATGATATGGTTTGCCCTTCCCATTCATCAGTAATACAATGTAAAAACAAATCCCATTGCAGGTGATTGCCTCTCCATTTGCCTGGGACAATACAAATGCTGAAGTACAAGCTCTTTCAATGGACACTGTGTGCCGTGCTTCATCACAGCATGCTTTATCGCAGCATGCAGCCTCAAATATTCCACTTTTACCTGAAATCCAAACCAACAATTCAACAAACAAAAGTGGGAGTGGTGGGACAATTCAGAACAAGACCTGCGGGCTTTTTCAGAACTGTTGCTGAACAAACGGGGCATGGTTTAAAAGAGAGTTCTAACATTCTGTTCGATTTATTTCAATTATGTAGCATTCATTTTAGCGCCCCCTTTTCAGACACAAAATAGCAATTCCTAATTTTATCAATAATTAATATTAATTAATAATTCCCAATTTTATAATAGGTGAATAAATTAAATGTCTTGTAGCAGCCATCAAATTAGTACTCTGCAGGTTCTGTGTCACATTTGTGCGTCGTTTGGTCATAAGAAATAATCAGGTTTTAATTAAGCACAATGGTAAAAGTTTTATGAATATGGCCCTGCTGTGTTTGGCAAGGCTGTAAAAATCAGCCTCAGCAAATTCCTTGGAAGCATAATTTTTTTAAGGCTTTCATCTTTGGTTAGACAGCATAAAATGCACTTAAAACATTTTTAATTGCCGTTTGACATCTGTTTGGTACTAAAAAGGAATTAATCTCTGCTTTGCTGTCCTGCAATCCCAGATGCAGTGTGAATTTGAAAAATACTAAAAAAGTTAATATACATAAAACTCGAGGTGATATTCAGAAACGTCGGTGCATTCACTACAAATACAGTTTTCTCTGACATTCCACTTCCAGGGCTCTCTAGATAAAACAAACTCAAAAGCTAGTTTACTCCACATCTGACAAGTAATTAAATGAGGAACAATCCAGACAAAATTACTGAAATTGGTTGCCATAGTATTTTTACAGAAAATACATATATTTTAATTTTGAGGTGTCGAGAACAAAATGCTCTGTTTCTAACTGCAGTGGCATCTATGAAACAGTCAACTGTATTAAAATGTCAGCTTATTTTATTCAGCATAGGTCAGTTTTTACTGAAATATTTATAGTGGCTCTTACTACTGTTTTTTTCTTTACTAGAGTTACTATGAAGTATACACAGGATTAGTGTAGACAATTGATTAGTGCTTACTGCTGCTTGCTCTAATTGTATGATTAAACTACTATTTTATTTCTTGACTCCTTCTGTATATACTAATGAATTATGATGTAGTTATCTGTGCTAAAACTACACATTAAAGACAATGTAGTTATAATTCTCATATTGGCTGAGGGATATACTGTATACGGTATTTAGTTGAAATAGCTTCCGTAAATAAAGAATGATTAAAATGAAACAAGCTTAGCACAGAAAAGCAGAAATCAAGACCTGTTCAGCTTGTGGCCATTGTGATCTTTCTGCTGTAATGTTAGGACCATGACCTTTTCAGCCAAGTACCGATCTAGAGCAAAGCATAAATAATGTGTGAGTCCCAAAACTCTTCTTATGGAAAGGGTCATAATATTATTTTTAATCAATTAATTTTAAAAGGTCTCAGTGTAAATAAAACAATGGTACACTATTCTGAATGTTTTGTAAAATATATTTTAACATACAAATCAGTGTTTGCGGTTGATGCTGTGTGTTTCAGTGCATTATTTTCAAATGTACTGTATGCATGAGTAATTCCTTTTTTTATTTATTAATTTGTTTTTATATTTATTTTGGTATGGCTCTGTCTTTTATTTTCGTTGCTCGTTGCACATTTGTTTTCTGTGCCCTGTTTTTGATTTGATTGAATAAATATATGTTTTTGCTTTGCTGTTGTGACTGTTGTTATTTACACTATTTTAATTTCTGATCCAACTTAAGTAATTGTAGAAGGCATTTCTTTTTCAGGTGAGGGTCCAGAATAAACACACTAGAAACTGTGTCGGATGTACAGTACTTTCCAGTTCAAACAATACAAGGCACACAGAATTGCAAGCTTTCTTCAGTACCTCAGACCTGCTCTGTCCTCTCTCTCAGGGAAAAGGGTAGTAAATGCTAGAAAATGCAACTATTTTATCCTTACTGTTACTTATGTCTCCGTTGCTAAGTAACCCTAAGTGAATGCAGCTTCAAAAACTTTCTGTCTCCTCCTATGGTCTGTGAATTTTGAAAGCTCACTTGTACCTGCTTTACTGACAAGCTACTCCTCAGCCTTGCATTCTTAGACTGTAGTTTCTTTTAACTATACTATGTAAGTATACTGTATATACAGCAAGTACAGTATAATAACGTATGGTTTTAAAGCCACTACAGTGAAGTATATACTGTATGAAAAATATATTTTTCATAATCAAAACTTAAAGTTAAATTGTTTCCTGTTTATTCGTTGCTGAGATTTGCACTAAGACAAAATATAGATTTTCTCAATGATAAGGGCACATCGCTTTCACAACAGGGTATAATAATGAACTATTTTGTATATATCCGGCTACTGTATGTGACAACGTTTTCTACAACAAAAATCACAGCAAAGTACAGTATTCTTATGATGTATTCTTAGAAAAGGTTAAAACATTATAGCTTTTTATGAAGTATTAAAAATGTATATAGATCAAAGAAAAATTTCAAAACTTTTCCAAAATAACCACCATGAGTTACCGAGTTTGATGCATAAAATATTTATGAACATGGTGGAATACTGTTGTCTACTTTATTTTTTATATTTAGCTACCACTACCATCTTCTATATGTACATTAGGTATATATCACGTTATACTTCTGTTGTTTTTATTTTCAGCTACCAAAATGTCCCTTTAGTTGTAGAATTCCACATAATATTCCATAATATTAAGCGGATTTAAACACACACAGTGGAGAAACAGATGAAATGAAGTAATTGTTTCACTAACATCTAACGCACCACAAGTGCTACCTATCGATCAGCTTTGGCCAGTGAATAACATAACGCAACACGCTGTGTTACAGGTAACACATTTGGAAGAAATACCTCATGTTCTGATTGGCTGAATCTGTACTTTAAAATCCTGAATGTTATACTTCCTTAGGGATTGAATTTGGAGTCTGCAGTATTAACCAAACTGAGTAATACATGTGATCATAAGGAGGGCTGTTGCATTGCCAGGTGGGATCCATATTGAATAAAACATTTGGTTTGGTGTTGTGCTGTAGCATGAACCGTATAATTCCTAGCATAAAAACCTCTAATGAATCTTATTCTAGATTTCCCTCTACTGATCCCTTTGTGCTTTTCTGATTCTCATCAGAAATCACATGATTTCCAAGCACGTTCACAAACTCAAGATAATAGATAGCATCAGTGGACCTCCTGAGAAATATGTTTATTGTGGCGACTCAATACTGTCAGGTCTCCAATTTGAAATGCAGATCTGGTGAAACCAGAGACAGTGGCTGTGGGTGCTTAATTGAATGGTCACAGTGAATAGTGACTGGAGCCCATATAGCCTACTGAAACAATAGCAGCCTTTGAATATAGGCATAATTACAATGTTTTAGACCAATTGTGACCATAATTTAAACTATTTTTAAACACCTAATGCAGTTCTTTGTTTGTTTTTCAGTATGTAGTGTACAGAACATAATAAGTAATAATCAGCACAGGAACAAGTAAAAGGTTTATTCCATGCTGAAAAGAGAAGAAAGGAAACAATGTTTTGGCTGTGGATCCATCTTCGGGTGTGAGAGTAATGATAATCGGTACAGTACTGTAAAGCATGGATTTATGTATCCTCCTTTTCAGGTATACTGTACTTTAGTTAGTATTTAACGTAAAAATGATACAAAGATCTTAAGAATATTGACAATTTAACTCATTTTTCAGAGCGTACAATGATATTCTCAGGCATGAAGGTACAGTAATGTCTTTATCTGTGCTTTGCACCAGTGATTTTATATGATCAGTGTTACTTCACTTCTAAATTCTGGGCATTCAAATCATTTGATTGTTTATGTATAAGACAGTTTAGCAATTTTCTATTTTGGGAGTAGTAGTTTAAAGAATTAAAGTGTAAAATATATCATTCTAGTGAAAGCTTTGGACAAAACTGTTATGAATTAACAATGGGGACGCCCTTTGCATCATTTTTCTCCATTTCCTACTGTATTTTAATGGACAGCTCACTCTTGAGTATGCTGAGCATAAACAGTGGTTTTTACAGGCTTTACAGAAATCTGAACCCCATCAGCAGTGAACCAGCATCAGGGGAGAAACAAACCTGAGGCTATAGGTTGTAAAGATTTTTTTTTGTCTGATCATTTAACGTCCTCAACTAAAACACAACACAGTGACCCTCTGAATAAGGCAGATGTTAAGGCATGTTTTCTTTAAAGGGAAAAATGTTCGGCAATCATCAGTCTCATCAAACCAGACTGCTTTGGTGACCTACTGCTTTTTTCCTAAAGAGAAACTTTCCCAATAGTGTCTTTATTTACAGTACCTTTACATAGACTGAGAGGCATTCAAATGCAATATGAGTATTGGAATCCATGAGATGTGGTGAATCTTTAATACACATACATTTTAAGATTACATCTTATGCCTGCTACAATGAAGTTCCGAACTTACAAAAATGATTGCATTTTGCCTTAAAAACTTAATTGGAATTGTATTTGAACATTTCAGTGCTAATTCTAATTAGCTGTTTAACCACTAACATCATGTCTGCCATTTACCACAT